GGGGGGGGGGGGGAGACTTGCTGGGGGGTGGGGAGAAAGGAGGGGTTGGGAGACAGGGAACACCCCCCTCCAAAACGCTTGTTTTCTATTACACAACTTCCAAATTAGGATATCAAGCTTAATTAATGCTAATTGAGTTCTTCAATACGTGTTATTTTTATTTAATAGAAACAAATTTGCACAATTAATTATCGACGTAATTTTCAAGAGCCTCGTTGGCGAGGCGAAGCTCTTCCCGAATAAACTACCCAAAGCAAATTAATGACTTTAGAAATGGGAAGGCTTTTTTTTTTTTTTTTAATTTAGTTTTGGTTTGGTCTGGTCTGGTCTGGTCTGGTCTGGTCTGGTCTGGTTTTTTAAAATGTGGTGCGGCGCCGGTTGTCGGGTTTCTTCTTGGGACTAATTCTCTGCTTTCTCTATGATCTCCAAATTCACAGATATTATATATGATACAGTTTGTAGTATGTTGGACCTGGCCGGCGCTGGGGGAAAGTAGCTTAGGGACGGGGTGGAAAGAGCCCCGCTTTTTCTGGGTTCCACACTGTCCTCCGTGTTTTGGCGGCGAGGGGCTCCCTGAAGCGCCCTTGCGAAGCAAAAGACGCGAAGGTCCGGCCGGGAGGCGACGTGGCCGGAAAGGCCTTGGACACGGAGAGGGGGAATGGAGCCCCGGAAGGCGTCCGGGCGCAGCCTCTCCCCTCTCCGGCTCCGCGCAACGCGCCACCCCGGATCCACCCTTCTTAGCCTCACGAAGCCCTTTCTCTCGGGGCAAGGCCCTCTGTCCGCAATGCCCCGCGGCGGCCGGGATGGGGGGTCCCTCCGCCTCGTGCGCAAACCCCAGGAAAGGTTTCTTCCCTCGCCCGGGCGCGGTGTGATCGCAGAGGCGGGCAGGCGGCGGCCGCTTTAATTTTGTTGATGGATCGGCTCCGTGGGCTCGCCGGTGCGCGCGCGGCGTGTCTGCGTGCGCGCGAGGACGGAGGGGGCTGCGAAGGCAGGGAGGTGGGCTGCAGAAGAGATGGGGCGGATGTTGGTTTCTTCGCTGATTTATTTTTAACCCGAGGTTGTACAAGGCACTGACAGTTTGGATAAATTAGCCAAGCTTCGCAGCCTCCTAATGAGCGGGTATTATTTCAGCACCTCGGAAGGAGCGTGAAAAATGAAAGAGAGTTCCATCCAGAGGTGTCGGATCGATTCACGATCAGGGTGTAAATTATATACAACTAAATATCCTAACCGCCAGTACTGGCTCCTTAGCTTAGCGAGGCAGCATTAAACAAAGATTGTAGGACAGAGAAACACCTCCGTGGAGCGAGGACTGACCTGGCCTGACCAAGTTCCTTCTTTCCTGCCTCTTATTCGCTCTCTCGTCCTCTCTTTTTGTTTCCCTCCCCCGCCTCTTTTTAATTCCTAAGGGCCCCGCGCGCAAAAACGCACAGCC